TTCTGGCATTTTCGAAGCTCCATTGACAAAACCTAGCTTATTTCTCGCGCTTAATGCAATTTCTGCTGATCGTTTCCAGTGAGGAAAGTTCTCACCATTCAACTTCTGAGAAGCGAGCAAGAAACTAGGAGATTCTGTAGGATGAAGATACAACTCGCTGTGGATGTCGATGGAAGACCTCTCAGAAGAATTTGCACCCACCATGGAAGAATATGCAGAAAATCAGAAGATCTTGAGATCGATTGATCAGAAAAACAGAGGAACAGAGATCGATTATGTAGAAAACCAGAGAATCAGAGAATTTGTTCAGGCTCTGATACCATGATAACTTTCACACCATGGAAGAAAGAGAAAGTAAAGAAACTTGGAAGAGAAGTTGTTATTCTATCTGTGAAAGTCTGCGTACAAGCTAAAGGAAAAGGAGTATATAAAGGAACCAAAACTACTAGCTAACAGAAAACTGCAAAGCCTAAAATTAAGCCCCAAACAGTGGGGTTAGTTAAACACTAAGTGACAGCTGGCATTGACCCCTTTACAGCTGGCATTGAATCTGTTATCTTCACAGCAAGTGATTGTGGCTCTTTTCTGGTGTTTGTTTTCGCTTCTCAGGAAGCTACATGATAGCCTCTACTAATGACATTACCTCAAATTATCAGCACTAGCATGGTCGACATATGTACTCTTGATATTTAGCCTTCGGATGTTAACTTTGAGACTGATGGTTGAAGAAGATTATGGACAGTTGGCAAGAATCTAAACATAATTTTTTTTTATTTCCTCCCTTGTCAAGAAGATTATGGACAATCTCTTGACTGCACCAAGTAGAAATGCAGAGTCTCTGGCCTTTCCGTAGTGTGTGTGTGTGCGTGTGATTGCCATATCATACTTCTAAGTTCATGAAACTCGCCATTTTATTGGATAATTGTTCAAGAAAATATTACTAATGACAACTTTTGTCATTAATCCTCAACAGATGGTAGCAGAAACTAAAAGCTGGCCTTACGACTTTCCCAAGTCAGAAGACTATCCAAGTGCTAGTCAACGGGGAACAATCACAGGTCGACTGCTAGTACGTGACAGGTGATCTTTTTTAATTTAATTTGTATTGATTAATCCAAGCATATGAGTTTGAGTAGTTTTGGCTGAGTTAATTGGTTTCTTGATATTTATGTATGTTCATGTTTAGGTATCTAAATGAGGAACTTATCCCGGCAAAATCTGCATATGTCGGTCTCGCTTCACCGGGTGCGGATGGATATTGGCAAAAAGATGCCAAGGTTTAGAAAAACAACTCTTATCATTTACATGCATTCTTTTTATTCCTCAACTGTTTTATCACTTTAATTACTTAAATAACGCCATTTTTTCCCCTTTGGTTCTTGTAGATATGTTGACATAGCTAAAATATATATATTTGTTGTCTAGGGCTATCAATTTTGGACACAAACAGATGACAATGGATATTTCCGAATCAGTGCAATACGACCTGGAAATTATAACTTGTATGGTTGGGTCCCTGGAATCTTGGGAGACTATAGAAACACAGTTGACATTATAATAAGACCAGGAGAAGAAACAAATCTAGGTGAACTTGAGTTTCATCCTCCTAGAAATGGCCCAACCATATGGGAAATCGGCATCCCGGATAGAAAGGCAACAGAATTCTTTATACCTGATCCTTCACCCAACCTCATGAACTATGCATTGCTCAATCATACTGAAAAGTAAGATCTTGTGACATTGCATACATGCTCACCTTTTATACTGAAGTGCACAAATGAGAATTTTGAAATCAATTTAAGTTTAATAAAATTAAAATTAATTAATTTATAAAACCAACAGGTTTAGGCAGTATGGATTATGGGATCGGTACACGGATATATACCCTTCCCAAGATTTGGCTTACAGAGTTGGGAGAAGTGACTATAAAAAAGATTGGTTCTTTGCACATGTCAGCAGGTGCGTACTTTCTTTGCGTTTTTTCAACACAACATTTTTATGCTACATTCGTCATATAATGAGATGGGTATTGAGAAAAAAGATTGCTCATAATTTTTGCCTTCAATGATTATGCAATCTTGTAGGAAAGTCGGGGACAACTCGTACGAACCAACAACCTGGAGCATTTCGTTCCCGATGGAGAATGTTAACCCCGTAGGAACCTATACACTCCGTATAGCGTTAGCTGCCACCAACTTAGACAGAATTGATGTACGTATTATCATTATTATTGTTGTTATTATTGTGTTCATTGGATTTTGATGCAGAAGGAAGTAATATAAGTGTATTAATTCAAGAAACAGCCTGAGTCTTTATTTTGTTAAAGTCCAAATGACAAAAAAATGATTTTAATTTTGGTGCACTCGTAGGTTTTGATCAACAACCATAGTGCACGTGTTGGGTTCACGACGGATGGAAGTGGAAGGGACAATGCCATTGCCCGGCACGGAAGTCACGGAGTGGATACACTTTCGAGTTTTGAGTTTGGAGGAAATGAACTCGTGAACGGAGAAAACACAATATATTTAAGACAGGCAAGAGGTGGATACCGATTCACAGGAGTCATGTATGACTACATTCGTTTGGAAGGACCAGGCGTCTGATATTTTTAGTTGGCTATGAGTTCGGTGTAGATATATAGTATACCCATTATTTACCTTCGCATTTTTTTTGCACTTATTCGAGATATTTATATAGAACTAGGCTAAGATAATCCTATAGTTTTTTTTATATAAATATTAATCCTACAGTTACTAGCGTAGTTTTGGACTTTGTTGCTGAAATATGGTGTGGTTTATTAGTCTTGATATCTCGTACTCCCTCCGTCCCGATCAAAAAAGCCTTGTCCCCAAAAATCCTCATTTTTATTAAAAACTCACTTTTACCCCTTACTTTTTTATACCCTACATATCATACATTTTTCCTAATAATCTACACATCACATTCTACTTTTACCCATTAGATAAAAGGTATTTTTGGAAAATCAACACAAAATAATTCCTCTCTTAGCTTAGAGCATCTTTATCGATAGTCGAATTTTTGAGAAATGATGAAGTGGAAGAGAAGAAAGTGAAGGAAATAATTAAAAAAAGGGAGAGTCGGAGAGAGACCAAGGGAGGAAAAGAAGTGCACCGCGAAAAAAGAAAGAAATGGGAGAGAAAAAAAAACAGAAAATTACTTACGGGTGACGCGAGTTTTGTCGAAATAACTTTCGGGTCCTTCTATTTTCAAGAAGACAACTTCGGTCCTTATACTTTGTTGTAATGACTAGGAGGGGACATTTCATCTAATATTTCATTCATAAGTGTTAATAAATGTATTTTTTCCTATTTTTCCATTACCGTTTTTTCCTATTTTACCATTACTCGGTTTTTTCATTTTTAGAAAATATTTTTTTTCATTTATTTTAATATAATACAAACAATTTTGAATTTTTATCCGATTTTATAGAAGAAATTCTAAAATAACACTTTAAAAAAGAGTAACAAAAAAAGAAAAATAAAGAAATAAAAAGAGCGACCTAAGATTTATTACCTTAAAATATTTAGAAAAAAGGAAAAAAATACATTTTTTTGCGTTTATGGATAAAATATTGGGTGGAATGTCCCCTCCCAGTCATTATACTAAAATGTAAGGATCTCCGTTGTCTTCTTCAAAATAGAGGGACCTGAGAGTTATTTCGACAAAAACTGCGTTACCCGTGAGTAATTTTCTGGAAAAAAAAGGAAGAAAAAGAAGAAAGGAAGAAAGAAGGAAATAAAGGAAGAGGAAGAAAAAAAAGAAAGATAAAAATAAACAATATGTTTTGTACTATGGTAAAAATTAATTACAGCATCACTTTATTTTACGGAGTATTTAGTTGTTTTTTCGTGTGTCGTGTATGGTATAATATGCTGTATGAGCTTAAGTTATTTCATTAAAATAAAGAAAAAAATTATTCAAATAATCTCAATTTTACCTGGTCTTGCAAAAATAATTTCACTTTTCATCGTGATGCATAATAATCCCAATTTTACTAAAATTTTCAATTTTTGGATCGTCGTTAAATTACTAACGGCAACGAAACTGCATGTTTTGCGCAACAAAATGAAAGTTGGAATTATTTTTTATGAATCTTAGTATTTTAATTTTTTTGAAACTTTCATTTAAATTTTTAAAAATACTTTCTACCTCCATTTCTTTTTCTTTTTTTAAAGATTAATCTCACCTTACAAAAATTAAAATTTCTACCTTACAAAAATTTCATTTAAATTTTTAAAAATACTTTCTACCTTACAAAAATTTTTCTTTTTCTTACAAAAATTGATACAAAAAATCACAAAAATTAGAAGAATAACCAAAACCATACAAAATTCATGAAATATATAAGGCAATTAATAAAAATTAAACTAAAACTGGTAAGAAAAAATAAATATATTTGGAGTGCTTGTTTTAATATTTTATGCACTATACAGAGTCCTAATGTACTACGGAGTACAAAAGTTTGTAAAGAACAAGCCTGCCAGTAAAGTTGGAATTATTCTAGACAATATTTTCTAAAAATTAAGAACAAGTTGCACATTAATATTTTGCATAGTGCATAAAATATTAAAACCCACCAATCTGTCAATTTTTATTTTATTTCTGGCCAGTTTCAAGTTAGTTTCTATTGATTACCTTATTTATTTTATTTATTCTATATCATTTTAGTTAATTTTCTTGTTTTTGTTGTTTTTATATCTATTATTATTTTTTAAAAATAAGACTAATCTATAAAAAAAGACAAAGAAATGATGGAGGTAGAAAGTAATGTTAAAAATTTAAAAGAAAATTTCAAAAAACCAAAATTCATCAAAAATAATCCCAATTTCCATTTTGTTGCCCAAAATAGGCCATTTCTGTTAACCCGCCATTAGAAACTTAAAAGCGATCCAAAACTCGCCAATTTCAGTAAAGTTGAGATTATTATACATTATAGTGAAAAGTGAGATTATTTTTGAAAGATCAAGTAAAGTTAGGGGGATCGATCCACTATACACCCCCTTAGATCGATCATCTGATGCTGTTTCGTGATAGTTACTGTTCATCTTCTTCTTCCTCGGGTCCATTTTCGAAAATACCATTTTTAGTCACCAAACTTCAACTAAACTATATAGAAATGTTTTCCAAGGTTCATAGATCATTTTGGTATCATTAGTTTGTAGTTTTAAAAATAATTTCAGGGTTTATAATTCTTGGTTCTTCAAACACGTCAAACACAAACTCAACCAAACGATCGTTTATAAACGTAGAAACGAACTATACGAACATTCTAGTCATTTAAGATTATAGCGGATGAAGTTAGAACTAAATACAAGTATTTCATGAAAAGTTGTACTACAATGATCTTAAAATCTACTGTATGTGTGAAATTTAGATTTTTTTTTTGACATATCTTTTATGAGTTCATAATTGGTTTAGTTTTTTTCAATAAAATTTAATACATTTAATTATTATATATATTTCCTACGTCCCGTAAAGATGTTTTTGTTTTGACTTTTAAGAAGTTTAAGAGAAAAATATTTTGTGTTGACTTTTCAAAAATACTTTTGATGTGATGGGTAAAAGTAAGATGTAATGTGTAGGTTATGAATTAAAAGGAATAAAGTATTTGTGAATAAAAATAAGAAGAATTTTTTGAAACAAGTAAGGGGCCGTTTGTTTCAGCCTCTTAATGGTTCACATGTCTGAATGATTCAGCACTTAATGGTTCAGACTGTTTGTTTCAGCCTCTTAATGGTTCAGATGTCTGAATGGTTAAAAGATTTGCCTCTGAATGGTTAAGTATTATACAGAGTCTGAATGGTTAAGACCTCTTATCTGAATTGATCAGACATTTGCCTCTGAATAGTTAAGCAATATACTAGCTCTTAATGGTTCAGACCACTTAATGGTTCAGACCTCTTACTGGTTCAGCACTTACCGATTCAGAAGTTGCCAAACAGCCCCTAAAAAAATAAAGGAAAGGACGTTTTTGAGAGTAAGGGAGTGTAAAGTTTACAAAAGGGTTGTGCTACTCTAACCTAGCTTTATATTCTACTTTGTAGCCCAAATATTTACCCTCACATAAAATATAAGTGTAACACTAACATAATACCAATTTTGCACTTACATTTAATGTGAGAGCAAACCCTTAAATATAAAAAAGAATACAAATGTGGATGGGGTACAAATAGAATTTTACTTTAAAATTTTTGGATAAAGCTATTTGTACTATAAGAACTCGTATCTCATTTTGTACACCGCAGGGATCACCAACACTCTATATTGGTGTAATGCTAATTTTTATTAACACACAAATACTTTGTGTCTGTGTAAATTTTTGTTAACGTACCAACATTTTGTATTAATGTGAATCATCAAAATATTTGTGCATACCTTTAATATACAAATAGGATACAAATGTTGGGATACACGTAACATGCTCCAAAAATTATACACGAACCTAAAGAAGGAATTCACAAGAGCTAGAGGAAAACACCCACGTTTGCCCATTGACTTTTATATCAGCGCTTACGTCATTCCCCCAATTCCCCTATGACCCTATCAATATATACAAACGATGCATGTGGTGCATAAACCATCCAATTCCAATTCCAGTTCCGGATCTATTCCCCTGCTCTCTGCAAATCTGAAAAATCTCAAAATCACTACAAAAATGGCATCCGATGCGCATGCAACAGAGCTCCCCGCCGTGAAGGCTTTTGGATGGGCCGCTAGGGACACCTCCGGAGTTCTCTCTCCTTTCAATTTCTCCAGAAGGTATTCCCCATATTTTTCAACTCCCATGATCATCTTGGATGGGTTTAATTTGTTTGGCCATAGAGTGATTTTAATATGTACTCTGTGTGTGAATATATCATGCATTGATGGGTTTCCCCGTGCACAGGGAAACGGGGGAGAAGGATGTTCAATTCAAGGTTTTTTACTGTGGGATTTGCCACTCAGATCTTCACCAGCTTAAGAACGAGTGGGGTTTCACTGCATACCCCATTGTCCCCGGGTAATTAAGATCCCATCTCTTTAGCTTTCCATTCTTTGTATGAACTATAGATTCCGCTTTCGATTGGTTTCATACATCTCGTGTTGCAGGCACGAAATTGTTGGGGTTGTGACTGAGGTCGGGGGCAAGGTGGAGAGATTTCAGGTGGGAGACAAAGTTGGCGTGGGATGCATAGTCGGATCTTGTAGGGATTGCGAAAACTGTGGAAGCGATCTTGAAAACTACTGTCCCAGGAGTGTGCAGACTTACAATGCTATAGGAACCACCACGTACGGTGGCTACTCCGACATCATGGTCGCCGACGAGCACTTTGTGCTCAAATGGCCGGAAACCTTGCCGATGGAGGCAGCTCCCCTGCTGTGTTCCGGGATCACAACATACAGCCCATTGAAACACTTTGGGCTGGACAAGCCAGGAATGAACATAGGAGTTGTGGGCCTGGGTGGTCTTGGCCATATGGCTGTCAAGTACGCCAAGGCTTTCGGGTCCAAGGTGACTGTCATCAGCACCTCTGCTGGTAAAAGGCAAGAGGCTATCGAACGTTTTGGTGCCCATTCCTTCTTGATCAGCCGCGACCCCGAACAAATGCAGGTAATTTGTAATTGATTAGATAGGTAATTCTTAGGAGTAATTTTTTCATTCCCTTATTATAAATTTTGCAAACAGGGATGCTGATATGGTTTTTGCATGTATGTATGTAAAAAAGGCTGCAGCGAGCACACTTGATGGGATAATAGACACAGTTTCTGCAGTTCATCCTCTATGCCACTACTAAGCTTGTTGAAGACCAATGGAAAGCTTGTATTGGTTGGTGTCCCAGAGAAACCCTTTGACTTGCTGGCGTTTCCCTTGATCATGGGTAACCCACACTTGGATGCATGTGTCTTAAATGTTTCTGCCTTGGCACTCTTTAATGGTAGTCTAAAATGAACCAAATGACATAAATTTTATGTTGTGATGGCTGATCGCAGGCCGGAAACTAGTTGCGGGAAGTGGCATTGGAGGAATAAGGGAGACTCAAGAGATGCTGGACTTCTCAGCCAAGCATAACATCACGCCGGACGTTGAGATTGTGGCGATGGACTATGTCAACACCGCCATGGAACGCCTGGCCAAAGCAGACGTGAAGTACAGATTCGTATTGGACATTGGCAAAACACTAAAATATGATTGAAGAGTATGGTGTTCAAATGTATGTCATGGGCGGCCGGTTTAGTTTTATTTTATGTGTAAGTTGTTAGAAAAACATTATGCTTTGTTTCAATGAAAATGTTCATAAACTTCACAAACTTGCCTTTTGTGGATTTGAAATTAAAATATCTTTATTTATTTGAGTGCATCTTATTTCTAGGAAAATGTAAAATGCAAGTTTGTGAATTTTGTGAACTATTTGTTTGTGACTCTAGCATTACTCTTGTTTCAAAGTGTTGCAAGATTTGAGTCGATGTGGTTCTCTCATATGTATGTTGTATTATACTACCTCCGTCCCAAAAAGATTTACATGTTTTGACTAAAGTTGAAATTAGGGGAGAGATAATTTTGTGTTGACTTTCCAAAAATACTCTTGATTTGATGTGTAAAAGTAGGATGTGATGTGTAGATTATTAGGAAAAAGATATGATGTGATATGTAAGGTTTGAAAAAGTAAGGGGTAAAAATGGTTTTTAATAGAAATGAGTAGGAGATTGTGGGACACAATTTTTTTGAAAGGTGTAAATCTTTTTGGGACGGAGACAGTATAAACAATATGGAGTATCATATTCTACCTATATTTGTCTAATTTTGACTTTTAACAATAAATTATTTTTAACTTTTGCCTACAATTAAATAAAATTTATATGGTACATTGATTACATAAATGTCCCTTTCGTTCATGCACCAGAAATTGTTTCCAAAACTTTTACGATCATATTTGTAACTTTATGGATCTTCCAAATTACTTGGTCCGTCTCTGAGTGTTTGTCCAGTTTTGACTTTTGGAACTGTTCATCTAAGCACTTTGACTTATCAAATTCTCTCAATGTGTAAGCCTAAAAATAGTCATGTGTGATCTTGTTTGATTCGTCTTAACATATATATTATTAATATATAATTTTTATAATTTTTTAATATACAAATTACAAGATAAAATGGATTAAAGAAGTGTATTGGATGGTTTGCAAAAATGAAAGTGGACAAACACTCAGGGACGGAGGGAGTATTTCCAGATGTATGGAATGGATCTTCCATGTGATCTTTTATTTGGAAAATTTATAATTATGCTACTTAGTTATGATTCTTTCAATTTATAATAAATGTCGATTAAGACTTTTTTGATAGTTCACAAATGCATGTATGAGTGTAAGAATAAAATATTAGGAGTATTTACATTCATTCATTTTTAAATCTATCAAGAAGGTTGTAATGAATAACTAATCTCAAATTGAGGCGGTAATGTATTTGTCAGAAGGAATTTAATTTAATAACTAACAATGATTTTGGTTAATTAAGAGTAAGTTAGATTTAGAATTGCTAATTAAGTCTAGGACTTCTGCAACTATTAAGTGGACCCTTTACTACCAACTTGTGTCGAATTCCAATTTACCTTCTCTCATTAACTGTCCATTGGATCTGATAGGAAGGGAGAGGACACACCTTTTTTTAGAATTGAGCATCTAGCATGCATGTCCATGTGACTTCAATTTTCTACCCCATTGCCATCAATTTGTCAACCATAATAATGTCCCCAACACCTACCTATAAAGTCCTATATGAATTTATTATCGATTGAAACCGCCGAAGGACTCATTTACTTGCCTTCTTCATTTCTATTAGGCGTGTGAATGAATATTAATCGGGTTAGATGTATCATTACCAGATTCATATTCGTTTATTTTATCGGATATTGAATACAAATCTTGACGGGTACCAAATATCAAAATAATCTGCATCCAACGGATATTGGTTGAATATCGGATATATTTGTACCCCTTTCCAATTTTTAAAATCAAATTGAACAAACTTTAATTTCCATTTAAAGTCAAATTTTTGTGAAGAGGATCTCAAATATAATACTCCGTAGTAAAGGATTGGCATATAAATAAAAAATAAAACTTATATATTTGAAAAGTACATCAAAACTTTTACAAAACAAAAGTGACAAGAATATTTTATCTAATCAATCGTCAATGAAAACATACAAATAATTAAACTTCACATGATTTTTAAATAGTAAAGTGTATAAATAATTTTGAAACGGATGGAGTATTATTTAGATTTAGGGTAGTAGTTATAAATGGTATCATAAATTAGTGGTTGATTTTAGATTTTCTTATAAACATAAATGGTAACGTAATACTCCCTCCGTCCTAAAACTATTTTCCCACTTCCCTTTTTTCTCTGTCCTAAAACTACCTTTCCATTAGAAAAAAAGATGACAAATGACATTAATACCCTCATGTATTTACACCAATTATCTTCTAACTCTATATTTTGAATGATTGCAAAAAAAAATTTCAAAAAATCTTTTTTAGGGAGGGTAAAATTTGAAGTCAAAGCCAAAAATTAAAAATGGGGAAAAGTCAAACCGGGAAAAAAGAATTAGGACGGAGGGAGTAATATATACTCCCTCCGTTCCAACAAGATCTTCATGTTTCATTTTTTGTGTATCTCATAAAATAGTTCTATCCCACCTTAAATGCAAAAAAAACTTTCAAAACAACTTCTAACCACAATAAATGAAAAATGTGGTAAATTTTAGGCATTTTAGATGTATGTAGAAGTGTTTTATAGGATGCGTAAAAAATGAAACAAGAAGATCTTTTTGGGACGGAGGGAGTATATAACATGTATGTGGTAATAGTATTAATAATAATTAATAATGTAAATAAAGAATATTAGAGCATGTAAAAGGATGATACTATTATTTATATATGACAACATAAATAAATTTAAAACATATTTTGTTATAAATAGTAATTTTTGTATAAATAGTATAATAAATATTAATTATGTTTATAGAAATCACCTTAACAGGACTAAAACATAGAGAAAAGTACCAAAATAGGACTTTCATGTTTTTTTTACGAAATATGACTTTGCACTGTGGTAATATGACATTGCATTGTGGTAATGTGACAGTGTACATGTGCACATTACTATACTTTTTTGATAATGTATATGATCATGTTTGGTAATGTAACTCTTATTTCAGAAATAAAAACATGAAAGTCGTATTTTGATATATTTTTAATGTTTTAATCCTACTTTGGTCTTTTTCCCTTATGTTTAACGTAGTATTTATAAATGGTAATATAAATTAGTGATTGATTTTGACTTTTGAGCTTAAACGTATGCATATAAATGGTAATATAATAATGCATAATGTGTATATGGTTATAATAATAGTAATATTAACAATAACAATTCAACAACAACAACAACAATAGTAGTAGTACTAATAATAATAATAATAATAATAATAATAATAATAATAATAATAATAATAATAATAATACTTCCTTTGTCCTAAAATGATTTACATATTTTACTAGTCAAAAATCACAAAAACTCTTATTTATTTGTGTTTTTATTAGCTATTCAATGAAATAAAATATTTTTATCACATCTTTTTTTTTGTAGAATTTTTGATATTTTTTTTAAATATGTACCCTAGAGTAAATTTTATGTTTTTATTTATATGTCAATCTTTAAAAATTTGCTTCGGCTCCACATCATCAGAGATTAGTGTTAGCGTTCTGAAAAAACTATCCGACGATAGCTTTTATCGTTAGCATTTTCAGAATTAATTTACACCATTAAAATTTTATCCAAAACGCTAATACTAAAAAAAACTCTTTTACCAAACAAAGCCTTCACATATGAACAAAATGCACCCTAATGGCCTAATCACAGTGGAAGAGGAAAGCGCTGACGTCCATTGACAAGTAAAGTTTTACTATCTCAGCGCTGACGTCAATCACCCAATTCAGTGTCTATATAAACGAACGATCATCTGCCAGCCGATCTACAACAATTCCAGTTCCAGATCTACAATACTCTCTGCTTCTGAAGAATCCCTAAATCACTACGAAAATGGCAGCCGATTCGCATGCAACGGAGCTCCCCGTGAAGGCTTTTGGATGGGCGGCGAGGGACACCTCCGGCGTTCTCTCTCCTTTCAATTTCGCCAGAAGGTATTCCCCATATTCCGCCATTTTACCCCTGTAATCGTGAGTTTATTAAGCTATAGAATGGTGTATAATAGATCGATTTCCGTGCATAGGGAAACGGGCGAGAAGGATGTTCAATTCAAGGTTTTGTATTCTGGAGTTTGTCACTCAGATCTTCACCAGCTTAAGAACGAGTGGGGTTTCACTAAATACCCCATTGTCCCCGGGTAAGATCCATTTTCGCTTTCAGATCCATCTCTTTTGCAATTGATAATATGTTGAAACTTCAAGCTTGTTCCTATACACTATGAATTCATCACCTTCTGATTGGTTGCATGTTCGATTTGTGGGTTCCTATCTAATGCTGCAGGCACGAAATTGTTGGGGTTGTGACTGAAGTTGGGAGCAAGGTTGAGAGATTTAAGGTCGGAGACAAAGTTGGAGTGGGATGTATGGTTGGATCCTGCCGCGATTGTGAAAACTGTGCAATTGATCTAGAAAACTACTGTCCCAAGAGTGTACAGACCTACAATGATTTAAGATCCACCACGTACGGTGGTTACTCCGACATCATGGTCGCCGACGAGCACTTCATCCTCAAATGGCCGGAAAATTTGCCTATGGAGGCTGCTCCTCTGCTATGTGCCGGGATCACAACTTACAGCCCATTGAAATACTTCGGGCTGGACAAGCCAGGAATGAACATTGGAGTTGTGGGCCTGGGTGGTCTTGGCCATATGGCTGTCAAGTACGCCAAGGCTTTTGGGTCCAAGGTGACTGTCATCAGCACCTCTGCAGGTAAAAAGCAAGAGGCCATTGAACGTTTTGGTGCCGATTCCTTCTTGATCAGCCGTGACCCTGAACAAATGCAGGTAATTTATTAGGAATTGATTAATAACAATTTGGGAGTATTATTTTTTATTTTGCAAAGAATTCTGATAATGATATGGTTTATTGGTTTTGGTATGCATGTGTGTATAGGCTGCAGCGAGCACACTTGATGGGATAATAGACACAGTTTCTGCCGTTCATCCTCTTATGCCACTACTAAGCTTGTTGAAGACCAATGGAAAGCTTGTATTGGTTGGTGCCCCTGAGAAACCCCTTGACTTGCCAGCGTTTCCCTTGATCATGGGTAAGTATAATAGTGTAAACCACACTTCCATGCATGCGTTCTATATATCTCCGTCTTGGCAGTTTGGCATTCTTTATTTGTCTAAGGCGTGTAAATTGTAATCTCAAGTGAACTAAGTGACATTGTTTTTATGTCGCGACGGTTGATCACAGGCCGGAAACTGGTTGCCGGAAGTTGTATCGGAGGAATAAAAGAGACTCAAGAAATGTTGGACTTCTCTGCTAAGCATAACATCACGCCGGATGTTGAGATTGTGCCGGTGGACTACATCAACACCGCCTTGGAACGCCTGGTCAAAGCTGACGTGAAATACAGATTCGTATTGGACATTGGCAAAACACTAAAATCTGCTTGAAGAAAATGGTGTTCAGATGTATGTATGTCTTGGGCGGATATGGGTCGTTTTTTTGGTAATGGTTGTTGGTTTATCTCAGGCCGTGGTCGTGCGGGAGAATTTGCTTTTAAATACAAAGTTAATAATATTGCATAAATAAGAATTACCAGTATTTATATTGTGTGTTCATTGTCGTGAGGAAAATGTACAACACAAAAAGTATTACTCCGTGTGATCTTTTTATCTGCAAACTAAAATTAATACCTGGGCTGCTAAATAATTAAAATGCATTTGTGAATTGTGAGCATAATACTCTACGGCCATAAAGATTTCTCTCTTGTGCATGGTGAGTATTGAATGGATTTGTATTATTTTCAATTTATATAAAATGTAAATAATTTTTAAAAATAAAATTTATACATTTTAAAACTTAAGTAGTTTTGAAAAAAAATATATTAATAATACCATATATTATTTTATCTAATGAGTAACAGAATGAAATCAAGAAAATTAATTAACTAAGGTCTTGAAATATGAGTTTTGAGAGAATGTCCATTTAGAAATTTTTTTGTATACCAAATTGCAAATAAAATCTTACAATGACTATCAATAATAGTAAAAAACATTCTCTATCACATGACTATCAATAATAATCAAAAACATTCTCTATCACATGTTGCTTTTTGTCATAGTTAAGTTTATATGGATGTCTCTCGTGCAACAAACTGGCAAAGTGGCAAGGATTAAGATCTTGAGTTAGGATGATGAAAGCAATCATTTGGATCACATTTCAAAAAAAAAAAGTGTATAAAGAAAATTTTCAAAATTTTTAACTTTTGTTCAATTCAATTTGTCATGCAATATCCTTATATGACAAAAGTTATTTGTCGGATGTGTTATGATAATCTATTGTAAGTGTGTAAAACGTATTTTACTTACCTATACATCTCTTGATGGTGTCAATTAATCACCAAGGCGAATTACTCTAGATCAAGCCTAGGGTGATTTGCTGAGTTTAGAGACTTAAATGTAGAGTAAAGAAGAATTGATTGGGAGGACTTTAGGAGGGACACCTATAGTCCAATTGTTATTAAGTATAAGAATGGTTAGGGGTAAGCATTCTAACCGACCCGATCGCCAAACCGTCAACAAAAAACCGAACCGATCGAAAATTCGGTTTCGATTTCAGTTAGACTTAATAGAAAAAATCGGTTAATTCGGTTAATTCGGCCGGTTATCGGTTACAGGCTTTGAATAGCCGAACCGACCGAAAACCCCGAAATCTAAACATAGTTTACATTTTATAAATATAGCCCTTGCCTTAATGCCTAGAGCTTTTTTAATTTATAAGGTTGTAAGCCCAACCCAAATCTTGTATCCTTCTAGACCTTTTCTTTTCTCACATCCAACACTTCATCGACACCTATCTGGTCTCCTCCTTCAAAGGACTGCCCACCACATTCCATAGAAGAAACTCTTTTTTTTAAGTCTAGATCTGAAGCGATACTTGGGAGGCGAGACCCGAAGTTTCGAAATTTGAGGTAGTGATTTTGTAGGGCTGGGATTGCTTGGCCGGAGACTATGGAGGCTGGGCGTAGGAAGTTGGGTGGTGGAGCAGTTGAAGTTGCACAGGAGAGGCAGGCCGCTCAATATGTCTAGAATGAGAGGAAGGTGTTAAACACCATTATATTGGAGTTGAAGATAACATTTGGCACCATCTTATTGAAAATTGAAGGGTAGTTTGACTAGTTTCCATTTATCCCTTCAAAGGTTCCAATACTTTTCGGTTTTAGAAAACCGACCGAAATAAGTCGGTTTACTCGGTTTTGGTTATTTCGGGTTTCCATACAAAGCGGTTCGGTTTCGGTCGGTTAACATGGACTAAAAATTATTTTGGTTTTTTCGGTTCTGAACCGAAACCGACCGATGCTCACCCCTAAGAATAATATAGGAAGATATTACACAATGTGCGTTTAGAGATGAAATTCGGATCCCTTCTACTAAGATTACAAGCATATTTATAGGAAAGTTAGGGGACAGGCTGGCAAGTGCCCATGCCCGACCACATGCCAGCCATGTGATGGGATGCTCAACCTGACGACCTTTGTCTCGTAACATTTTTCCTCTCTCCTTGGTTGTTCTCTCACTGTAACTGTCCCTCTTGGCGCGTAGTGTTTAGGTGGGAATATTTGGCATAGTCTAGGTTGAGTTGCTTCCAAGTCACTATTGTCCAAATGTGCTAGGCTGTTAGTGTGTACGCTAGTATGTTCCAATGATGCACCTAGGTGGTTTCTCGAAGGAATGCCTTGGTGATTTGAGGATCTCTCCAACAAAGCCATGATCCTCGATCGGTAGTTTCACGGGTACCAATCCACTCGGGTGGTTTCCTACCCCACTGGTCAAGTCTGGGTTCGTCCCAACTACCCTAGTACGCACTGTTCATAAGCCTCCCAGTCATGTCCGATCCAGATCGGGTCTTGGGTTGGAATCATAGATTTAAAAACCGGACCGGACCGGACGGTTCGGATCGTGAACCGGGGAACCGGTGGTCCAATCGGTCCGGTCCGGTCCGGCCCATTGGACCGTAACCTGCTTCGAACCGGCCCGAACCGGTTTGAACCAATAAGAACCGGTCGGTCGGACTGGTTCGCCCAGTTTTTTTTCTGATTTTTTCCAAAACATGCCTCCTTGGGGGTTTGAACCCAAGACCTCTTAGACATTTGGTTGAGCTCCTAATCATCCAAGCAATGATGCTTTTTGTTACAAGTTCACATAATCTTTTATAATATTTCGTAATTACAAAAAAGATTGTATATAAATTCTTTTTCAATTTAAATAAATATAATATTATATAGCTATGAGTCAAACACAAAATCATTAATATTATTGATACTATTACAAAATGCAAATCATGCAAAGATTTCGTTTTTTTTAATATTAAACAAATTATTTGAAAAAAATAAAATCAACTCTTCATTTAAAATTCTTTTATATTTTTTAATATGTAAATTTTATTTTTTAATTTTATAAAATAACTCAAGTATATTAATATAATATTACTTAAATGTTATAAATTACTTTATTTAGATATTTATAAATGAGAATATAAATGAGAATGTGTGTGTGTCTATATGTATGTATGTGTAAATATATATATACATATACATACACACACACATATATATTTATTTATTTATATAATTTTTAAATATGTTTAAACCACCGGTTCAACTAGTTGAATCATTGGTTCGACCAGTAAACCAGTGAACTAATACCTTGACCGGTTCGGTCATCGGTCCGGTTCTGAAAACTATGGTTGGAATACATATTACACCCATCATTTCTAAATTATGTGGTACTTTAATTTGGCAATAATCTTACCGTGTATCACACGGGTGAAAATTTATAAATATATATGTCAATGTAAAACTTTTTCATGTGCTAGCACGAATTAAAATAAAATTACAAATTCTCAAAAAATTCTTCATGAACAGCAATAATAATATTATATCTACCATCATTACTGATTTATTACACGCGGGAGAAGAACTTAAAATTTTGACATATTTGTTCATGTTTGCTATAAGAACTACGGAGTATCACCCAAATTTAAAACCACTTAATCCATCACCCCACTCCATAGTAATGATCTCTTGTTTACTTTAAAAACAAAACAAGAGTAAGATTAGAATCACAAACAATTTGAACACAAAACACACAAACTTGCCATCTACATAGTACTCTCATCGTCTCACAAAACATTACTCATATGGCCATATTGAATATTATTTGGTCAAACAGTTACACGCTTTAACTACAAACTGTGAGAAAAGTATATTGAATTATAATATAAATTTAATATAATTAGATTCGTCTTAGGATCTAGTTTTGATATATCAAATTTTTATAACATTTCTTTATTTAGATTATATTTAATTTATGGTCAAAGCGAGCAACTATTTGACTAAAAATACATTAAAATGAGTAATGTTTTGTGAGACGGAAGGAGTATGTGTTCAAATTTTTATGTTTTGAATTATTCACAATAATTTGCCAAATTCCAAAAGTTTTAAATTTGTAATTTTTTGAATTTTTTCGAGTGAATCCAAATAATTATGGGACCTAGAACCATAAACTCCCCGTGGTGCATAAACCATCCAATTCCAAAACTATTCTACTCTCTGCAAATCTTAGATCACTACCAAAATGGCGGCCAATTCACATGCAACAGAGCTTCCCGTAAGGCTTTTGGATGGGCGGCGAGGGACACCTCCGCAGTTCTCTCTCCTTTCAACTTCTCCAGAAGGTATTTCATACTTTCTGCCCTTTGACCCCGAAAATGTCGAGTTTAATTTTTTAGATATAGAGTGATCGTATTATTGATGGGATGGGGTGCGCAGGGAAACAGGGGAGAAGGATGTTCAATTCAAGGTTTTGTATTGTGGAATTTGCCACTCAGATCTTCACATGCTTAAGAACGAGTGGGGTTTCACCACATACCCCGTTGTTGCCGGGTAAGATCCCTATTCGCTTTCAGATCAATCTTTTTTTGAAATTGATAATATGTTGAGACTTCAAGCCTGTCTGTATAAACTATAAATTCACCTTTTGATTGGCTAAATATTCGATTTGTGGTTTCATATCTCATGCTGCAGGCACGAAATTGTTGGGGTGGTGACTGATGTCGGGAGCAAGGTTGAGAGATTTAAGGTCGGAGACAAAGTTGGGGTGGGAGGTCTGGTCGGATCCTGTCGCCATTGCGAACACTGTGCAAGCGATCTAGAGAACTATTGCCCCACAAGTGTAGGGACTTACAATGATTTAAGATCCACCACTTACGGTGGTTTCTCCGACTTCATGGTCTGTGATGAGCACTTTGTTCTCAAATGGCCTGAAAATTTGCCTATGGAGGCTGCTCCCCTGCTGTGCGCCGGGATCACAACTTACAGCCCATTGAAATACTTCGGACTGGACAAGCCAGGAATGAACATCGGAGTTGTGGGCCTGGGTGGTCTTGGCCATATGTTTGTCAAGTACGCCAAGGCTTTTGGGTCCAAGGTGACTGTCATCAGCACCTCTGCCGGTAAAAAGGAAGAGGCCATCGAGCGTCTTGGTGCTGATTCCTTCTTGGTCAGCCGTGACCCTGAACAGATGCAGGTAATTGATTGATTAAATAGTAGTAGTTGTTAGGAGTAATTTTCTTCTTATTATTAATTTTGCAAACAATGATGGTGATGATGATATGGGTTTTGTATGTATAGGCTGCAGCGAGCACACTTGATGGCGTAATAGACACAGTTTCTGCGGTTCATCCAATTTTGCCCCTACTAAGGTTGTTGAAGACCAATGGAAAGCTTGTATTGGTTGGTGCCCCGGAGAAACCCCTTGACTTGCCGGCGTTTCCCTTGATCATGGGTAAGCCACATTTCAATGCATGTCTTTGTAATATCTCCGTCTTGGCAGCTGGCATCCTTTTTTTTGTCTAGGGCTTGTAAATGGTAATCTCAGATGAACTAAATGAAGATGTTTTTATGTTGTGACGGTGGATCACAGGCCGGAAACTAGTTGCCGGAAGTTGTATTGGAGGAATAAAAGAGACTCAAGAAATGCTCGACTTCTCTGCAAAGCATAACATCACGCCCAATGTTGAGATTGTGCCCATGGACTATATCAACACCGCCATGGAACGCCTCGCCATAGCAGACGTGAAATACAGATTTGTATTGGACATTGGCAAAACACTAAAATCTGCTTGAAAGATATGGTGTTCAGATGCATGTCTTGGGCGGATCTGAGTCTTTTTAAATTGTAGTGATGCCATGTGGCATCCATGTGTTCAATATTTGCTGAGTGTATTGGTCATTTGTCTGCTTGTCATCAATTGAGTTTCTACCCTATCGTCTTCTATCGGCTATCTCTACGGCAGAGTTCTTGAGGTCCGTATCTGTAATTGCCACCTTCATTCGTTGTCCTCTGTAATTTACATAACTGTGGTGGTAGAGCAAAGCCCAAAACCCTTTTGTACTACCAATTCTGAGATAGATGTCGCTTTATTTGGCTTGCCCTTTCGAACTCAGATTCATTTCATTTTAGCAGCGACATGTGGAATATTGTTGATTTGTTCCATGTTGTTCCAGCCGTTGTTTTTTTTTTTTGAATTGTTGATATTAAATTGTTGATTTGTTCCATTGTTTGTTGATGTTGTACTTCAGCCTTCTCACCTTCTGATTCAGTTTTATTAATTACTCACTTGCATAGCTCCATATGAAATGATTCAGTTGGCGTATGATTTAGGTATTTATCATCTTAAATCTTGCTTAATGTGAATCATCTTCTTCCATCTTACACAGGGGTGGGAGCTTCAAAATCTTGAAGGGTGAGAAATCTCACTTTTAGGCATAGGATTTCAATGTCCCTGCTGTGATTCCGTGTTTTGTGGGATAGTTGTAGTACAAAAGAAATTTAGTTTGACTTTCAGTTTAATGTTCCACCCGAATGAAATCTAAGATTGTTTATATTAAAATTCTAATGGCCATGTCAATTTTTCCCATCATCTTCCTTAGCTTTTAGCTATAGTCCTGGTTCAAACTTTAGTGTCAATTTTCTTCACAGATTTTATGACTTATTTTCACCCTTGCAGATGCAGCCTCTCCATAGTCCTACTCCAGCAGTCGCATGTCCAGCACTCCAAGCTCCAGCGATGTACTGGGGAAGATTTGAACATATAAATGGCGACACTCATGATTGGGAAAATTGATTGAGATCAAGGAGGTTCACTGATGTTTCAGAATATTCTTCCAATCTTTGGTATTTTGTTTTTCTAGAAACTCAAAAGTACTTTCCTAATACCTATTTAGTGTTATTTTGCCCAAATACAAGTTCATTTTTTGCAATCATTTTTTTTCTTAGCTTATGCAAATTTGTAGAACATTTTTTGCTTTGGTTGAAGAAGAGGAAAAACCTATCAAGTCAATCTATTTTTGATGAATTAATCAAACTACTTACTGTTTTCATTCAATTATTCTTTTAATTTCGCATCGTGGGCTGTGGTACAAATTAAGATTTTTGATGTTATTTCTGAATCATATAAATTGCTGTATATGCTGATATTTGCATATTAGAGAAGTATTAACACTATGTTTGGTTCAAGGAATTTGGAAGGAAAAGAAAAGAAAATGATTTTCCCTCATTTTCCTCACTAAAATGGAAGGAATTTGATTTTCTCTCCTCTTTGTACATTTGCCTTCTTATTTTCTTTTCCTTCCACTTTTCTTTTCTTTTCCTCTCTATCCAAACAAGAAAAATGTTTTTTTTCTCATTTTCTTTTCCTTTCCTTCTCAAATTCCTTGAACCAAGCATAGTGTAAATCACTGTGGTTGGCGTTCAAAAAAAAAATCACCGAGGTTGGTAGTGTGTCATGTGATCTATTAATTTTGAACTTTTTCTATGTATTTCTTTGGAACTTTTTTTGGATTATACCTTTTGCCATTTGGTTGATATGTATTCAAACTTGATCTCATTGTTGATTGTCCTCTGCATCTTCTTATGGTGTATTTGTTATATACTACGTATTGTGTTTGATGGCTATTTGACTAATTTTGTTTTTGACTTCAAAGTTCATTTACATAGATATTGATTGTATGAGATACAACCTGATTGCTATAGTCCTGTCCCGTGACTCTCATTTAAATAATGACACTGTACTTTGCACATCATGTAGCATCACTACATCACCATGTTAAACATGCACATTAAAATATTTGAATCAAGCGTTTGAATCAGGTGCAGATACCCTTGAAACATGGAAGCCAAAACCCTGGACATGTTCATCAGAATTATCAAAGGGAGAATTTTCAAAAATGCGTGCTAAACTTTCGGATACTGCCCACAACATGGTGGTTGACTAGGTACTATTTTCTTCCATGGATTTGATAAGTAATTCTTGATGAGAACTGCTGCAACTTAAGTTTCCTTGTGTGTAGACCCTGTGAGGGACAATGTGACTCTTAAAGTCGGGTGCTTGAATATCTTTTTTTTCCAATAAATGGTTGATATGATTGATTTTTTTTCTTTATTAAGGTTTCTTCTTATAAAGTACACAATAGTTTCTAGGGCAGAGTTGCATGAAATTCTACATTTGCAACAAAGAGATTTATTACTTCATTATCACGAGTTAACGAGGATAGAGAATCTATTGCAACTCGAATGTAAACGAGGTGGTGAATTTGCTTAGGTTAATTTGTTTGAATTTGCAACAGACATATCAATAATAAATAATGATATTGAATAATTTTCAAATGTATTTGACAAATATTTTAGGACATCATAAGGTGAAATCAAATATAATGAAGTAAACTTGAGATGTTAAGGGTGGTGTATTCAATTCAAATTTTAAAAGATTCTGAGAGATTGTTTAGAATCTATGGATTCTGTAAAATCAATGGATTATTCTAAGTCTATGCAGAGTTACATTGATTTTAATGTATTTTAACCGGATGATTTTTTAAGATTCTGATAGATTGTTTATAATCCATGAATTATTTATATATACATTTGAACTACTTTTAAAATCTATACATTGTTCTAACATTAATTATTACTCATGAAATTTACCAAAAGCTTTAAAAATATCATAATGAAATAAAAATAAATTATTATTTTTAAACATCATTATTATTAACAATATATTAGCATAAAATAGTATATTGATCATTGTCATAAGTAATAAATTTGTTTTGTAGCTCAAAACATTATTATCTCTAAACTGTTTTTCATGTATGTCAAAATTTATCAATAAAAATCTAAAGACAATACAAATAATCATCTCATATTTCATTAGATACAGTGAATCTCCTTGTAGTAGAATCAAACCCAAAATCAGAGCTAAAAGCATGAGTTTTGAATAAGAGCTCCATTTATTTTTAAACTACTTCAATTGGCTTTGGTAATTGAGGCATTTCTTTTGACACGGCAGTTCTTTTATTAGGAACATGAAGTATCCCGTATACCACTGTTTGCTTAGAATAAATGCCACCATTATCACGCCATCCGCGAGCGGCGGCATCTACAATGAGCTCAAACAGTACATCACTCTCTTGGGTTGTCCATTGCTCATACCCTCCTTTTTGGTATTTTGTTGTTGATCACCCATGATGATATTCCTATATTTTACAATAGTCAACAGTAGGTTACAAGGAACAACACTATTTGATATTTATGAAACGAATTCTAAGTTAGAAAGTGCAAAAATAAAAACATAAGTGGGAGAATGTTTTTTTAGTAAACATATTTTTATATTAAAAGAGAAACAGGAAGATAAAGGGGTGAGAGGCAGGCCAAGCCCCATACAGCGTGGCCAAAGAAAAGAGAAAAAGCTATGCACAAGAAGACATAAATTGATACTCTAATAATAAAGCATACAATTCAAAAGGCATAGCTATAACAAAAGAAAGCTAACAAAAAAGCACTCGGAGGAAGCTTTCAAGACTACTGCCATTAAGCAAAGCAGTACCAAACATTTGTAACCTGATTCCAGGAACCTGATTCTTGCTCAGAGGTATACAGATTCAAATTAACTACCAAACTAGTATATAAGTATGTACCATAAGAAGATATTTTGAAGATTTGATTATTTGAAACAAAATTAACTACCAAACTTTTTCCGGCCCTAAATGTCTTATAACAACAACAACAACCAGTAGAGTTCCACAAAGTTTAATCCTTTCTTTGCATTCGGATCCCCCCCGGGTCCAGATTCAGAATGCTTGGGCCGTGGTGGGCCTGGATGTTACAAATATTATTCCCTCATGCCTGAATGACGTAGCATTTCCAGAGACTCCGAATGATACTGCCATTGTTTTGGTTCCAAAGAAGCATTCCCCTGAAACGGTTGTAGATTTACATTCAATTGTTTTGGATACTATGCTTTTTTGTCCTGCCAGCTTTTCTCAGATAATATTTTGCTGGCAGCAAAGTTGGGCCATTTTCTCAGAAGGAAGCGGACAGGGAAACAAGGTTGGCTTTGGTTGAAACTAGATATGGCAAAAGCTTATGATTGCATGCAGTGGGACTTCTTGTGGCATATGATGCAGGCCTTGGGGTTTGTTGAACGATGGATTAATCTTATCATGCTTTGTGTAACCAGTGTTTGTTATCGAGTGCTGGTTAATGGCAATTTGTGTGAGGTCTTGCCTAAACGGGGTTTTAGACAAGGGGACCCGATTAGCCCTCAACTCCTTATTCTTTGTCTGAGGGTCTCTCCAGGTTGCTTTAGAATGTGGAACATATAGGTGATTTGCATTGAATTTGGGTGGGCCGTGGTGCCCCCCTATTAGGCATCTATTATTCGTTACTGACTGCCTTCTTTTCTTGAAGGCATCTATTGAGGAGGCGTTTGTGGTATGTGTTTGTTAAATTGAGTATGAGAAAATTTTAGGCCAGACTGGAATTTCATAAATCTAATATCTGTTTCAACCTGAATACCCAGCGGATGGTTTTGGTAAGTGCCTTGGTCTTCCCTCTTTTTTTTGGGCAGGAATAAGGTTACGGTCTTTGATTTTATCGTGGAAAAGACCCGTCACCGTATTGGTGGATGAAAGAAGAAGCTTTTATCTAAAGCAAGGAAGGAGATACTACTCATAGCTGTGGCTCAAGCTATGCTGCAATTTGCAATGAGCGTTTTCTTAAGACTCATGAATGCCTATCGCTGGCAGGGAAAGGATGTTCTTGCTCAGACATTCATTAGCTATCTTGGGAGCGTTTGATGGCTCCAAAGAAGTTTGGGGGCCTTGGTTTCAAAGATATCCGTGTGTTTAATGTTGCCATGTTGGGTAAACAGAGATGAAGGTTCCTCACTAGAGCCAGATTTGTTAGTTGCGAGGGTCTTTACTTTAAATCATGCTATTTCCCAACTTCTCCTTTCATTGAGGCGGAGTTTGGAGGTACACCTAGTTATTGGTAGCGCAACATTCTAGTTGCTCAATCTCTTATCCGCGAGGGGGTTCAATGTAGAATTAGGAATGGTGCTAATAATCTTGTGTAGGGTAGCCCTTGGCTACCTGAAAATTCCAATCCATATATTATCTCCACCCCGCCTACCCCTGGATTTAATTGCACTTTTTTTTTTTCTATTGTATACAGCAGTAACGGCGATGGGAATTGGGTGAAGCTTTAAATTCTTTTCGACCCTAGGGATGTGCAGTTGATTTCAAGGATTTCTCCTATGCTAAGCAGATGTGAGAGCTGGAACTTGGCAGGGGAGACGCATGGGTCTTATATTGTGCGAAGTGCTCATCGGAGAGTGATTGGGGAATCCTCTNGGGGGGGTCCTTCCAAGCATCCTCGCTCTTAATTCTAAAGGTATGGAGTTGGACAATGTATGTTCGATCTAAGGGCACCCTGTTGAGACCCTGGAACATGTATTCCTTCAGGTTCTTGCCCTTAGTGGATTGGGTTGGTGGATTGGTTCCAACATAGGTTAGAAGCGTGCTCCATAAGGGAGTTGCAGAGTGGTGTTTTCTATTTGGGTTCTATGGAAAGCTCAGAGTGATGCGGTTTGGAACCACGGGGTGGCTACTCTTCAAGCCACGATTCATAGGATCCGATCCTTGATGGCGTGATAGGTTCGTTGATGTCGGGCAAGGGAGGGTTAGAGCTTGTGGTCTGTTCTAATTTGATTTTATTAAGTTTTTATGAGGTCTGATCCATCTAAGTTTTGATTATAGTTATATTTGAAGCTATTTTTGATCATATTCGGTCAACCTAATTTTGTCTAATTTGATTTGATTTCAATAAGAATTAGTAATAAAATTAAATTAAACAGAACAAACCTTCAATCTTCCTATTGTTGCTGTCTAGCCTAGTGCTACATTTCACTTTATTGATGCTAGCCTTTAACTCGATACGCGTAGAGTTTGGCTTTGAAGTTGTTTTGCTCGATGAAGTGGCAAAATATTTTGTCATATTTGGCTTAAAATATTATTCATGGTATAGTTTTTATAAATTAAGGATCATCTATGTAATATTTTATAATTGTTCTTGTAATTATGGATTATTTATGGAATTTACTCAAAATAAAAAATAAGAAGTAAAAAATTATTTTCTTACTTCAACTTAATTTTTTAGTAAGAAAGATAATGTTTTACTTCCTTAGTGTTTTGATAAGAAAGTGTATTTTCTATTTTTTTTTTACTAGTTTGAGCTTACTTTTTATTGATTACCTTATTTTCATTATTTCTTATGATTTTAGTTGTGTTTCTCATTTTTGTTATTGTATTTTTTATATTTTTCCCTTTTATTTTCCTGAAGCAAGACTAGTCTTTTTAAAAATAGAAAAAGAAATGAAGGACGTACATTAGCTTTAAAATTTAAGGGAAAATAATAAATAAATTTTATCAAAAATAATTCCTAACAATAATTTTTGTTGCACAAAATAAGTCATTGACGTTAACCAATTGTTAGTGGGTTAACTGTGACTTAAAACTCATATACGAAGTATTTCATTAAAGTTGGAATTATTATGTATCGTAAAATTGAGGTCATCGGAGAAAATTTTTCTTAAAATAATCTAGAATTAATCTATTGTGACTTGAAACTTCCTTTATGACTTTGTTTTGGCGAATGTCTAGAAGGTGGGTGAAAAGCAAGTCTGATTGCCGAATATATCGGAGCAGGAGAAGGAAAAATGTGAAATTGGTCCATTGACTTTGTTAGCTCAAATCTCAGCACTTACATCATTCCTTCAGTACCCATTTCTATATAAACAAACCATCATCTGCTGCTTCTGCATAATTGCCATCCCATTCCAAATCTATTCTACTCTCTGCAAATCTCTGATCACTTCAAAAATGGCAGCCGATTCGCTTGGAACAGAGCTCCCCGTGAAGGCTTTTGGATGGGCGGCGAGGGACACCTCCGGAGCTCTTTCCCCTTTCAACTTCTCCAGAAGGTATTCTCATATTTTCCAACTCCTATATTCTCGAATTTAATTATGTATTGGGATAGAGTGATTGTATATGTACATCATCGATCGGTTTCGGTGAACAGGGAAACAGGGGAGAAGGATGTTCAATTCAAGGTTTTGTATTGTGGAATTTGCCACTCAGATCTTCACCAGCTTAAGAACGACTGGGGCTTCACTACGTACCCCATTGTCCCCGGGTAAGATCCATTTTCTCTTTCACAACCGAGATCATATGTTGAAATTTCCCGGGTAAATTCACCTTGGCTAAGTATTCGATCGCAGGCACGAAATTGTTGGGGTTGTGACTGAAGTAGGGAGCAAGGTTGAGAGCTTTAAGGTGGGAGACAAGGTTGGGGTGGGGTGTCTGGTCGGATCCTGCCGCGATTGTGAAAACTGTGCAAGCGATCTAGAAAACTACTGTCCTAGAGGTGTAACAACTTACAATGCTATAGGAACCACCACGTACGGTGGTTACTCTGACATCATGGTGGCAGACGAGCACTTCATTCTCAAATGGCCTGAAAAGTTGCCTATGGAGGCAGCTCCCCTGCTGTGCGCCGGGATCACAACTTACAGCCCATTGAAATACTTCGGACTGGACAAGCCAGGAATGAACATCGGAGTTGTGGGCCTGGGTGGTCTTGGCCATATGGCTGTCAAGTACGCCAAGGCTTTTGGTTCCAAGGTGACTGTCATCAGCACCTCTGCTGGTAAAAAGCAAGAGGCCATTGAACGTTTTGGTGCCGATTCCTTCTTGATCAGCCGTGACCATGAAGAAATGCAGGTAATTAATGAGTAATTGATTCATAATGATTACGGAGTATTATTATTCATTTTGCAAACAATTCTGATGATGATATGGATTCTTGGTTTTGGTATGTGTGTAAAAAAAGGCTGCAGCAAGCACACTTGATGGGATAATAGACACAGTTTCTGCGGTTCATCCTCTTATGCCACTACTAAGCTTGTTGAAGACTAATGGAAAGCTTGTATTGGTTGGCGTCCCAGAGAAACCCTTTGAGTTGCCCGCATTTCCCTTGATCATGGGTAAGTAATATAAGCCACACTCGGCATTCCTTAAATGGTAGTCTAAAATGAACTAAATGACTTTTTTTTTAATGTTGTGACGGTGGATCACAGGCCGGAAACTGGTTGCTGGAAGTTGTATTGGAGGAATAAAAGAGACTCAAGAAATGCTCGACTTCTCTGCGAAGCATAACATCACGCCGGATGTTGAGATTGTGGCGATGGACTATGTCAACACCGCCATGGAACGCCTGGCCAAAGCAGACGTGAAATACAGATTCGTATTGGACATTGGCAAAACACTAAAATCTGATTGAAGAGTATGGTTTTCAAATGTATGTCTCTGGCGGCCGATTTAGCTCTGTTTTAAGTTTGAGGTCATTGGAAGATGAGTACGCTGTGTTTTCCAAGTGTTGAAGATCTGAGTCGTTTTCTTTAATTGTTGTTTTCATGTTTCTTTTATACTTCGATGTATTGTGTCTGAATTTGTCTAGTTTGACCAAATTTGATCTTTTGCGGTCAAATTAAATGAATTTTTATTACCAATAAAATAAAGATTACATTACATATTACTCCCTCCGTCCCATTTTATAACGCGTGTTTCGGTTTACAATGTCTGACCGAAATTATTTTCAAATCATTTTATATGACAAATGGTATAGAGTTAAAAAATAAAAATTACATATTAAAATATTACATGAAAAGATCTATAAAATTAGTAGTGACAATAGTATTTTATTTTATCAAATTGCTAATGAAAATAGAGAAAGAAAGTGAATGAAGTTTGACCCTGTGAATAATGAACAAACATTATAATTTGGGATGTAGGGAGTACTAGTTGGTTGTTGTGGCGACCATCTTTTCATTCCCAATGCTTTTGAACGACCTCTTGCTCTGCACGGCAACTTCTAGCCTTCTCTTGATTTCCACTGACAGTACAACTAGTTGCTCACTCTGAATAAGTGTCTGAGAGGTGGGTACGCATCGGAACAATATGATTTTTTAAGATTTGATTCTTGATCAGTGCTTGTCAAAAAAACTTAACGTCTAACACTACGTGCTCTACCATTAAGGCATTTGTTTTTTTATTTAAATAATATATGGTCGTCGAAAGGATTTTTGTGGGAAGGATACGTGTACTCTTTATCCTCCCTCATATATACTCCCTCCGTCCCAGAGCATTTTCCACTTTCATTTTTACACACCATCCAATACACTTCTTTAATCCATTTTATCTTGTAATTTGTATATTAAAATATTATAGAAATTATATATTAATAATCTATATGTTAAGACAAATCAAACAAGATCACACATGATTATATTTAGGCTTACACATTGAGAGAATTTGATGAGTCAAAGTGCTTAGATGAACAGTCCCAAAAGTCAAAAGTGGACGAATACTCCGGAACGGGGGAGTACCGTGTAATTTGTACATTAGTCTTATAGTGGATTTTGTATGTCATCTGCCTCGGACCGTTAACCAACCAATTCCATCATCTACGCTCTCTGCTCTTGAAGGTTACTTATATATATATATATATATATATATATATATATATATATATATATATATATATATATATATATATATATATATATATCGCCACAGAAAAATAAAAAATGGCAGTGGATTCGCATCCGAGAGAGCCCCCCGTGAAGGCTTTTGGCTGGGCGGCGAGGGACACCTCCGGCGTTCTCTCTCCTTTCAATTTCTCCAGAAGGTATTCCCCATATTCTATTTTCTGCATCCCCTTTTACCCATAAAATCGCGCGGAGTTTATTACTGTATTTAGCTACGGGGTGATGATGTATTATAGATCATCGGTTTGGGTGCAGGGGAACTGGGGAGAAAGATGTTCAATTCAAGGTTTTGTACTGCGGAATTTGTCACTCTGATCTTCACAAGTGTAAGAATGAATGGGGCATCACTAAATACCCCATTGTTCCCGGGTAATTTAAGATCCGTTTTCTCTTTCGGATCCCTTCTCTCTTTCCAACCACAGATCCATGATTATTACCAGTAGTGTTTATGCTTCCCTCGACGATTCTGCAGGCACGAAATTGTCGGGGTTGTGACTGAGGTCGGGACCAAGGTGGAGAGATTCCAGATCGGAGACAAAGTTGGCGTTGGGTGTCTGGTCGGATCCTGTCGCGATTGCAAAAACTGTTCCCGCGATCTGGAAAACTACTGTCCCAGGAGTGTACAGACTTACAATGATTCAAGATCCACCACGTACGGTGGCTACTCCGACATCATGGTCGCCGACGAGCACTTTGTGCTCAAATGGCCGGAAACCTTGCCGATGGAGGCAGCTCCCCTGCTGTGTGCCGGGATCACAACATACAGCCCATTGAAACACTTTGGGCTGGACAAGCCAGGAATGAACATAGGAGTTGTGGGCCTGGGTGGTCTTGGCCATATGGCTGTCAAGTACGCCAAGGCTTTCGGGTCCAAGGTGACTGTCATCAGCACCTCTGCCGGTAAAAAGCAAGAGGCCATTGATCGTCTTGGTGCTGATTCGTTCTTGATCAGCCGTGACCCTGAACAGATGGAGGTTATTTATTAATTAACGTTCATCATTGAAACGAAAACCGAATGAATGTGGACATGATGTATGTCCATATTCATTCAACTTTTGATGAGTCATAGTATTCCTTGTTCTTGAAATATTCCTTGTTGTATAGGCTGCAATGGACACACTGGATGGGATAATAGACACCGTTTCTGCGGTTCACTCTATTCAGCCACTACTCAGTCTATTGAAAACCGACTGGAAGCTCGTATTGGTTGGCATCCCTGAAAAACCGCTTGACCTTCCCGTGTTTTCTTTGCTCAGGGGTAAGCTAGCTCAACATTTGCAGTTTCCTACGCCTAGAACCACATGTTTGAGTTTTTGGTTAAGTTGGTTCCTTGACAATTTGTATTAGAGCTGCACCCGTTAATCATATCTCAAGTGTGTGTGTGTGTGATTGATGGATGCCAGGTAGGAAGCTTGTTGCTGGAAGTGGCATTGGTGGAATAAAGGAGACGCAAGAAATGCTAGACTTCTCCGCGAAGCACAACATAACTCCAGACATCGAGATTGTTGCAATGGACTATGTCAACACGGCCTTAGAGCGTCTTGAGAGAGCTGATGTGAAGTATAGGTTTGTGCTGGATATCGGCAACACTTTAAAATCAGCTTAAGTATTAGATCTCTTAATTGAGAATGCTTGTATTGTATAGAAGACATGACAGTGTCTTTCTTTGGGTGGGAAAAGAATTTTGAAAGTTCTTCCAATGTGTCTGTTATTATGATACTCCCTCTGTCTCTCATAGATCTTCTCAATAGCCATTTTTCTTTGTCCACAATAGATCTTCTCATTTCATTTTTTAACAATTAAAATACTACAACTACCCTCACTTACTTTATTTATTACACATCATCCACCTCATTTAATACACTCCACCCATTTTTCATTAAGGGTATTATTGTAAACTTTCACCTTTTTTCAACTCTCCTTAAAAATCACCAAAAGTCAAAATGAGAACATCTTAGGGGGACGGAGGGAGTATGTGTTTGTAACATGTGTTCTGCATGATGTTGTCCAATAATGTTATATAGCCATTGGCTATTCATTCTACCAAGACAAAATCTTCCGTTCTGGTCTCATGGACTTGAGGAATAAATGGGATCACCGAGCTATATGTGTGTTTGTGTATCAAAATCTTTATCGATCAGTTTTTGGTAGAGATATATTCGCTCGGTCGTGGAATATTTGTTCACTTTTGATTTAATCTGGTTAAAATTGGCAAATTTTGATCACAAATTAAATAAAAATGATGTATATATATTGATATAATAATGATTTATTAGATTCATTTTATAATATATTTTCAAAATATTATTTTATCTAATCAATATACGACATATATTTTATTTAATTATAAGTCAAAGGTTAAAAATAGTTAGACTCCAAAAAGTATGCTCGTGGAAGGAGGTAGTATAAGTTTTTTATTTTCATTTAGTGGAAAATGTTCATAAATATAATTAAAATCTATTTGAGAGGAGAGAATCTTACAACAGTTTTTATAGAACGAATCTTCTAAAGTTGGATGTTGGAAGAAAATACAAGTTTTAATAAACTTGAAAGATTAGAAAAAACTGAATGAAGTTTGAAAAAATTGAAAAAAGTTAAAAATGCTAGAAAAAATAAAATGTTAAAAAAGTCATTCAATTAAATAATTATCCAAATTAATATTTAAGAAAACTAAATTTGGATTAAAAAAATTCAACTTTGTCTGTGTTTGAAATGACATAATATAAACTTAGATATACTCTCTTCATTCTAACTTAAATTGTCTGTTTGCTATTCACATGGTCAAATTTCATTCACTTTATTTTGTTACTCACTCGATAAAATAATAATGTCATTTCATATCTTATTTTGTAGAGCTTTTGATGTAGATTTCTGAAATGTAAATTTTATTTTTTAATTCTGCTCAAATTGTGAAATAAATTGTTTTGAAAATAACCTTAGTCAAACATCGTAAATCGAAATAGACGATTTAAGTTGGGACATAGGGAGTACAATGTCATAGCATTTGAAATACTAGCTTGAAACCGGAGTTTCAAACCTTATCATTCTGCCACATCAGCTCTAACCCCCTTTCACTTAAACCATAGATTCATTGGAAATACTAGGCTTCAAATTGTGACTTTGAACCTTTATTTTCTTATTCTTTATATACATTCTAAAAATTAAAATTACAAAGATTTCACTAATAACAACATAAATAAAAATTACATTATTTCTGAAAGAAATATAAATAAAAGTTACATAGAATTTAAATAAAACACAAAAAAGAAGTTACATAAAATTAATGATTATGTGAGCGATTAAAAGTATGTTCAATCAAATTCACCCTTAGTGCATCATGAATCTCTTGTCCGTCTAATAACACTTATTAGACGGAAAATCTATAATGTGTCACTTTCCCTTCAACACCTGAAGGCTCGTTCGATATATTTTCTTGTCGCTTTGTGAACTTTTTTGTGTTTGCCGTTTAAGACCGATTGGTTCTGAAAGCGATTTGACAATTATGAAATAATCTGGATATATTTCATTAACAAGATAATATCCACACTTGTAAAGTATACATTTAAGTTCAAAAGACGAGTCGGGTGCAGTTTCATTAACTCAATCGTCAAATATGGGTGATTAGTCAAGAACACTTATGTCATTGTTCGAGCTGAAAACACCAGAAAAATATGTCAAAACCATAGGTTATTTGTAGTCGCTGCTTCGAGCATAATAGTAGTTTTGAGATGATCACCCCGTAAATATTGACCATGCCACGAAATGGGACAGTTCTTACATTCCCAATGTGTGCAATCCATGCTGCCAAGCATGCCGGCAAAATTGTGTTTAGCGACATGCTTTGTCTGTAGCTGCTCAATATTGCTTGCCGTCGGCTTACGTATTTAGAGGGTATTTATAGTTGAAAATGGAAGAAAGAATTTTTTTTAATGTAGCCAACAACTACTTTTTAGACAAGTAGACACTTGGTGGAGGGCACTGCTTTCTCTACCATTCTTCTGCGTCAAATGTTTAACGCAAATCCCATAACACCACAATAATGTCAGAAGGGGCGGGTAACGACTTTAAACACTTTTTGAAGCCCCGAGCGTGATGTGTATTTCCACTACTCTTATAGCATATTCATCATATTTAAATACTTTTTTAATTCGTTAAAAGATTCAAAAGGATTTTATAAAACTAGAAATGATTAGAAAAAAACTGGAGGAGATTAGAAAAAATTGAAAGAAGTTATAAAAAAATGAAAATTATCTAAAGAAAAACAAGTTTTTTTTAGAGATGCTAGGGGAACACTAAAGGTGTAGCCTAAATGTACACCACATGTCACTTTACCAATCATTTTTATTTGGTTTTTATTTATTTATTTATTTTGTTTTTTGAATTTTTCATACTCCCTCTGTCCCAAAATATTTGTCACACTTGCTTTTTCAGCAGTCGCGGGAACTTTTGTTTATTTCTACGTTTTCATTGGTTATTTGATAAAATAAAATATTCTTGACACCTCTTATCTCGAAGAACTTTTGATATAGTTTTTTGATATGTAAATTTTATTTTTTTATTTCTATACCAATATGTAAATAAAATGAATTGAAAAAAAGGAAACCCCCCAAATAGGAGTAAAACATGTGTTGTATCCTCAAAATAGGAGTTCAAAGTTAAACTCCTCTAAGTAGAAGTAATTAACTTTTTTTATTTTACAATTGTTTAGCTGCCAGGAGAAGAAATGGAACACCACGCATTCATTGACTTCTTTAGTGGAAATTAAATGAACGTGTAGTGCTGACTCTCATGCATGCATGGATGCCAACATATGGCTAGCTAGTAGGGAGTACTTCTTTAATCCAAATTCTTTCTGTTTGTTTTCTTTCTTTTTTTTTGGGATTCTTTTTTATTATTATTGGTGGGGTGGATTTTTTTTTGTTTTTTAGCATAGAACTAACAATGGAGAGATTGTGTGTTTGTTTATTTTAATTGTCTTCTTTCCATAATTAATGACTTCATGGGCTTGATGCATGCACATGTATCACCGAGTACAATTGAACTTTTGGCATTTTGCAGAGCCACGTTTGTCACTGTGCATTGACATCTTCGGTATTTTGTTTTCGATTAACCTAAAATTTTGTATTTTTGCATCTTACAATGTCATGTTTGTCATTGTATGTTGTCATTTTTAGCATTGTATTTTCGATTGACAGTGTATGAATTATTTTTTCTCCATGATCGGAAATTACCCTCCGTCCCTAATGTTCTTTACTCCTATTTTGGATTTTAATCAATGTTTTACTCATATTTTGCTCCTTAACCCTTGAAAAAATTTGATATTTTACCTTGAGAATACAAGTGTGACAAATATTTAGGGACGGAGGGAGTATAATTTTTTGTGCTTATGAAGGGGGTGAGGATATTTGGGATACATCTTTTGTGTTTCCTTTTTATCTAACTCAATTCTTTAATATAAAATTTGAGAGTTGATTAAGTAGAATGATGACATGTGTCACTTAAAGATGGTTTAATTTAATGCCACATCAACCCTCCACATGTCCTACTTTGGTGCGTTTTCAACGTCCCCCCATCTTCATCGTCTCATTCAAGCGCAAGAGAAAAATTTCTCTCGCATGTCCTCCTCCATCGCGTGAAATCCGCGATTTCTTGAAAATTCAATATTTTGATATGAAATCTTTGAGTAAATTAAATTATTGAAGAGAAACATATGTTCTTATGATAATATTTTTTTTCCCAATTCAATATAGTAATTTTTTGGTCTCTTGATTTGTAGTAAAAATTTTAATTAATAAATAATATGGTTTTTGACATCTAAATAGTTTTAACCCGTGTATTTGTTTATGACATGTTTAGATGAAATCAGATTTGATTCTATTTATTCTAATATTGATGTAAAATTAAAACCAAACAATATATTTTAACTACTACATTACGAAATTCTAAAAGGTTGCACACACACACACTCATCAGTTCGTACTATTTTTCATTCATTTTTTCATTTAAAAAAAGGGCATCGATACACATTCCAATCCACATAAGCTGATGAGCATCAATGCATATTATCATTTATTAGCTTTTTTCATATATAATTGTTGTTTATAATGTTTTAAAATTCAAATTAGTTTGTATTTGAAATAAAAAACCAAAACTTAAAAAAAACATATACTTTCTCCATCTAAAGTTAAACATTTTCGTTTTTATAAATTTGGATGAAAAATATTGTTTTTTATTCGCTGTATATGCATTTGCATGTAAAAAATTATTAATTTTGTATAATAATAATACAAGGAGGTTCTACATCTACTCACTTTAAGTGGTTCCAGATGACACTAGCTTCAATTGAAGTATCTACGGTGCACCGTTCATAAAATTAATTGTTCCTACCCTCGAGACCCGGTAAACCCCCACCCCGGAGCAAGTGGCTCTAGAATCGTTCCCGGTAATAGTAGTTGTAATGATGATGATGATGATGATGATGATAATGATAATAATAATAATAATACGAAAAATGCATGCAAATAATTTTCAAATCGCTATTGCAAAAAATCAGAAGAAGTTAGACAAAATCAAAAGAGTGGAACGAATTTTGGAAATGTTGGAAGAGGCCGGAAGAATTAAATTGAAAGAAATTAGAAAGAATTGGAAGAAACTAAAAGAAGTTAAAAGGTAACAAAAAATTGGAAAATATTGGAAGTTAAGGGTGCATTTAGTTGCTGTGGGAAAATATGTGTCTAGATAATTATGAGAAATACTAGAGTCACAAACACTTTGGTCACAAAATACACAAACTTGCCATTTGAGTACCTCATCAAGTGAATAAAATAATGTTAAATAATTAAAAAGTAGACATTTAAATACATAAATAGTAAGTTTGTGTATTTTGTGACTAGAATGTTTGTGACTCTAGCACTTCTCGATAATTATTCTAGGAGAGACTAATTAGGGAAACCATATTTTAAGAAACCATGTTGATATTTGAATAAAAACAAAGATATTTTGAGATAATTTTAAAATATTTTAGGGAAGCATAATTTATTTGTTATACACGATCAATTTTGAATCTTTTTATAGTGCTACATTCTCTGGGGCCGGCGAGGGAGGGGGTGGCGGGGGCGGGGGGAGATGATGGGGGTGTGGTCGTGTGGGAGAAGGGATGGACTCGATCGAGAAATTAGAGTATTTGAGGATTGAGTAAAAATAAACTTTGATTCAAAACAAACAAAAGTCATTTTCATCTCTTTGAGAAAATATTATTCTAAAGAAATGATTTCTTACCACTTATGTAACCTAACATTGGAATGTATAATTAAAATTGTTTAGAGAAGTATTTTTCTTTCAACCAAATATATCTCAAGAATTGCAGAATACGTAGTAGAATCCAAAAGAACATAATCTTAAAAATTTGAATTCTTTTTTAGAATGAACAATAATTTTGTTCCGTCCCGTGCGTGGCACCAATTAAAAAACTAGTCTATCTCTAATAAAAACTAGTTTTTTTCTTTTCAAAAGCCCTAATTAAGGGGTATATTCAATCACGACTCTAATGGATTTTTTTGGATTCGGAAAATTCATAGGTATTCGATTCATATTTTAAAATATCATTTAAAATTTGGTGTATTCAACGATGGTATTAAAAAGTTGACCATCTTTGTCCGGTCCGGCCTTCAGTCGTCCGACGTCCATCAGTTTGTCCGGTGTGTCGTCGTCCTCAGCAACTACCCATCTCTATTCTTCAATTCCTCGGTTAGTAATTTCATATTGATTTTGAAAATCATGAATAAATTTCATTTAATTTCTCATTATTGCTCATTCGTATTTTTGTCAGTTTATTTCATTAAATTTTAGACCTTCAAATTTCTAAATTTTCAAATTTTAGATTATTGCATCTATTTAATTCAGATTATTTCAATATTGATTCAATTTTTTTTTAAAATTACAGATTATTTCATTAAATTTTAGGCCCAACTTGTGGCTGACTCCGTTTCTTAGGGTATCAGAGTATTACTCGCCTAACTCACCCAGTTTCAAATCGAGCAAAATTAAATTTTGCCTCACGTGATGGAGCGTGTTAGATTATAAAAACGGACCTACAATCAAAAGCTTGCAATTGAGTTGGTTCTTTAACAATAGCATTCGAATTGTTTTTAAGTCTGTTCAATGTAGTGCAAGTAGATTCATTGTTTTGATTGCCAAAAACTTATTGAATTAGAACTGTTGTTTTAGTTAGCTTGGTTCACCGTTAGTAAATGGTTTATTTAATTAGATTGAATACCTTTATATTCTTGATTACTTGATTTTAATGGAGGTTAAATTATACTAATCTTAGAATCTATTTGATTAATGAATTCAAATAGTTTTTTTTTACTTAAATTAGTTATTTTCATTTCTTTTTTGAGGGGGTCATTTCTTTGACTAATTAATTTTAAACAGTTTGTGTACTGTAAATTACTTGTAAAAGTAGGATTTGTAAAGAGTAACTTTAGACTTCACTTGTGACCTTTTTTTACGCGCATGAAATTATTATAGAAGTGTATTGCTGTATAAGTTTATATAGTACATGGGTAAATGGTAAAAAAACAAATTTTAATGTAGTTTGGGTCATTGCCAATTGTTACTATATCATCTCCCTCAAAGATTGGGACCCTTTGAAGTAGACTTAAATTATCTGGTTTTTCTTGTGTCGTGCAGGTACTGCAACACCATTATGGCTGCAAACAGACCTCGGACAAACATTTTTTCTCGTAACATTTCTGCTCCTGCAGCACATATTCCTGGGGTTAAGCATGGTCACAATGGAGCAATGTTTCTTTCATCTGGCATATGTGATCTTGACAGTAAATCCATTCCAACATTTTTCTTTATTTTACCAATTTAAAGTTGCTAAACATAGATAGTAGAAAGCTTTAGCTACAACTTAAGTGGTCTACAAGTTCAATAGATTTTCCGTACTCTGTATTCATCTAAAAGAGTACCGCTTTAGCTTGAAACTGATCACATGATTTTGTGTTTTATGGTTACTTTAGAGATTTTGGGAGGCGGGTTCTCTTTAGGTAGCCTGGTCTTGGTGATGGAGGATCCTGAGGCTCCTCATCATATGCTTTTGTTGAGAAATTTCATGTCTCAAGGTATTGTTCACAAGCAGCCATTGCTTTATGCCAGCCCTGAAAGGGTTCCCCGTGTTTTTCTTGGTACTTTGCCAAGTCCAATGTCTTCCAAGGATGACAAATTCCGAGAGAGGGACACAGAGCAGGTAACCTACCTCTTCTTACTTACACTAGATGCACTCACATAAATGTTTTCTTTGTATAAATTTCATTAAATATTTATATACACCTTGGAAATTACAGGACAAGGGTTTAAGGATCGCTTGGCAATATAAAAAGTATATCGGGGAACAAGATTCAGAAATTCAGCAAGGTCAACTACTTCAACAACAACTGCTCTTGCTTGCTTTCTCTCTCTCTCTCTCTCTCTCTCTATTTATCTATATGAATTTTCCTTTTACCATGAGAAACCTTTTCCCCTCCGAGTTATTTTCATGGCAGCAGTTGCCACTTTCCAGAAACAAAAATAAGATTGAGCAGCTGCTCTTTAAAAAGCAGAATTATTTAATTCTTCATATTTTGAGGTAATATGATGCAAATGTTATTCAAATTTGCTGGCATAATAAGTTTTCTTAAATACTAAGGCTTATATTAAATGTGTATTTTGCACGAGTAGTTTTTACCAACTCTGAGTGCCATTTAAAAATATAAATATATGCTGTGCTTTCTTTGTCTCTACTGATTTGCACTTGCAATATCTTTCCGATCTCCTGAACTAGAAGTGCATGTTTTCTGAGCTTTATCTTATTCTATCATTTCTATGTTGGTATCAAGCTACCAACAGACATACACATTGTAGTTGCATATGAAGAGAAGCTGGTCTATTGTGTCATCCAGGTGGAAAAACTGAGTATTGCAATGACTTTGACCTGCGAAAGCCATTGGAGAGGCATTTCCTTGCTGGACAACGCGTTGACTGCATTAGTATACATGATTTTCCCAATCTAGACCCTCTGCGTCAGTGTTGCTCAAATTTTTTAGCACAATTCCCAAGGTATTAACATGTGTTATTTCTACGTCCACTTCTGCATACGTGATTAGCTTTCGTTGACGGGTTAATGGAGAATTTCTAACTGGTATGTGCCAGTGAATAAGGTGTTGCATGTGCTTAGATAGTTATAGTATGTGAAAAAATAGGTCATTTTATTTTTTCAGCATAGGATAGTAAGTGGTTTTACATTTGTTATCATATTTTTTTTTGCTCTTCTTTGTTCCCAGATGTGATGGTAACATGACCTACCCGGGTAGAATTGCCATCCAGTCACTATGTGCTCCTCAATGTGAGTTTTCCAACAATGTTAGTAACAATGACCATTCTCAAATTCAATTATTTACTTATTGTTTTTTTACAAGTGCAATTTTTGTTCAAAGCTGCAATACTTTCAGTTTGACCAAAGATGCACTTATAATAATATAAAGAATGTGGGGAGCCATTAGCTTCTGACCCACTGCTTATATTTCAATGCAGGAATGGGAAATACTTTCCTTCATTAGGTCTTTGAAATGCATGATAAGGTCCTCAAAAACTGTTGCCATCATAACTGTCCCTTCGTCTCTTATTTCTCCGACCTTCTCGAAGAGATTGCAGCATCTAGCTGACACTTTGATATCCGTTCGACCAATTCCAGGTGTGTGAGGTTCTTGCATTTTGCATTCATATAATAAATTTAATATTATATATTGCTGTGTAAGCAATAAGCATCCATTGGCAATGGAGCTTAAAGAGTCATTTGTGACAATGTTTTACCTTTTGGTAAATAATGGACTGAATCAAAATAACACTTTTAACTTCTCTAGCTTTTTACTTTCAATGAAATTTGGCAGTAAATTTGGCGATGTGTCTAGGTCTAACAGAAACAACCTCGATGTTTTTTTACGGGGGTAAAAGGAGTTGAGATTTTACTGGTGTTGTTGTTGTTGTTTATATATTGCTGGGTAAGTATATGACCCCTAACTAATGCTTGGATCAGACGAGGACAAGGAGTTGGCAAAGCTTCTCACAGGTTATAAGGACATGCTTGGCCTTCTCAATATACACAAAGTGGCACGTACTAATACACAGGTTTTCGTCCTATGAACTACCTCTTCATGTTTTCT